GAGTGAGGCCATCTCCACAGCAATGTTCCGAGACGGCGGCTCTAAAGGCGGATGCGTCTGGGCTTCCGACTTGGGACAGAAGCTGGCCTGCTTCCCAATTGAGGGCCAAGTTGCGGAGCTATCCGCACCATGCCACGCAGCTTTCTTTTATGCACTCAATTCAGTGGTAGTCAGAAGATCGGGATTCATTTTGGTATGGCGTGGTCCATAACCGGAGCTGGGTAGCACCGGCGTCGCGGCCCTCCTCAGGCACCGATGTACCATGTACGGAGAGCCGGTTACATCAACACTGCTCCCAGGTACGATTAAAGGTAGCAAGTACGCGGGGGGGCCGATACGGAGGGCACGAGGTTAGGTAGGTACTACTGTATGTAGGTCGCAGGCAGGCAATGTATGTAGGTGGTGATCTGTAAGCGAGCACTGAGATTCTTGCTACCAACTAGCTCGCTCGAGCTGTGTGGGGTGGCAGGTGCTCTCTCGTGCCGTCTTACCTGGCAGGAAGGTGTGCCCAGGTCAGGTAGGTACGTAGATTGCTCTGACGCCAATGCGGCAGGCTCCGGAGACCGCTCTTTCCTCACCTTCGAGTGCTCGTACCTTGGCTGTGACTGGAGGCTTCAGGCCACACACTTGCTTCTGCCCACCATCAAGTACGCATATCTTCTTTCGTAAGTCAGCCCAACCATCCTACCTTACCTAGGTACTTTTCGACACAATCCCTCCCCAAGTGGCTGCCTGCAGATGAATAGCCAAAGTTTACCTGTAAGCCGTCACCTGCCATGCCAATCAGTCACCGACAGGGCGGTCCGGCCGTGGCCTTAGGTTGAGTTCCCGAGTCGACCCTGAGGCGAGCGATCGGGCTAGGTCCGTGGAAAAAGTTCAAGGGATCTCTGGCTTGCAATCTCTCTTCGCTTGACGCCCGATCATTTTCCCGCCCCAAATCCATCTACCTGCTTGATGCCTGCATATGACCTGGATTGAACGACACCACCGGGGGTCTAGCTCGGATTCCTCGAAAAGCCAGAGGCCGAAGATGCAAAATAGGTCCTCTTCGCCAGAGACGTCGGTGGCCTGTAATGGCTAAACGCCTTATCATGCTCCATCGCGACCAAGCAAGACATAACCACCAAGCCAAACTGAGGCTTAGGCGGCTACTAGAATCACCTTGTGTTAGGGCGATGGAGAAAGGTGGCTGGCAGACCATGTCATCAGTGGGTGATTGATTTGAGTCAACTCAGTTGACAGTGCAGCGAAAGCAACTATACTCCACCCGTCAAGCTATCGCATAGCGGCACACGACGATCACAAGCGGGACACCTTTTCTACTTCTGATAGCGTGCATACATATTGTTGCCCTGTAAGTCATCTTATCAAATATCCTAGTCCCGAACAGCTTTCCGTCTCTAGCTGAGAAGCCACCACATGCTTGCCGTACTAAACTCTGTACTAAACAGATTGGCAGCGTTAGTTCGATGATCCCGTTCAAGTGCGACACGGCATGCGTATCGACTAGCCTATCTAGCTTGATGGCGTCTGCTTACGCCCTCGGCCTCGTAACCTGCCAGAGCATGACTTGCTCTTACATATGTGGTTCCGTCTTGCAGGGAAACTGTTTCGTTGAGGCTGCGCCATGCTCCGTCCTTAACGCTGCCATGTACTACTTTGAGACCTTGAACGTTGCATCCCCGCATCCAGATCTGCTAGCACCTGTCGGCTGCTCGATTTGGCAGCCGGGACTAAGTTAGGGCGTGTTTTAGTTGCCAGGGCTCGTGTGAGACTCGTGCGCCCATCGACCTAAGAAGACCAAAAGGACGCCGGTGGCGCTGGTGGGTAGCATTTTTGCCTACGGCACATCACGACCAGCCATGTCGGCGGCAATGAAAAGACACAGCTGGACTTGACCACCGGCCGCCACGTGCACCTGTCTTGCTATCTGCAAAGCGGTCAAATCACTACCTCAAAAAAGCGATACAGGATGTTGTACAGCGAGGGTTTATTGTCCCCGCGGGAAAACAACACTACAAACGCAGATGATAAAGCCTATTTCCCAACTGAGAGACTTGCCGCGCGCCACCAAATCCTCTGCTGGTGCTTACGCCCCCCCTTCAAACCCAACCCCAACATACAATATTACGTCTCGCTTCCTAAGCACTCCTTGGCCCTGTCAGCGTGTCCTCCATTTTTGGGCTGCTTTGAGATCGCCTTGCGGGCCAAACAAGGAGTCTTGCTTTCAACTCGTACCTCAAACCCCGCTGGGATATCCAAGCTTGCCCATTTCTCACAATCATCTTGGAGATAGAGAGAGGCCTCTGAAACTGAACTTCGGTATTGTTACTGAGCGCGAAGGCTCTGGCGCATGAGTACTCCAGCATTGGAGAAAATCCGGTTTGGATTTAGAGACCCTCCAGCGGCTGGTTATCCTGATATAGATTCTACTTATATCAAGGTTCGAGAATTCACATCTGATGAATATGTGCGACATAGAACCTGTTCCTGAAATTCAGGTGAGATGTCAATCGAACGATTTCCTCATATCATGTGGCATTCAACGGTTGAACATAGATCTCGGGCGTTATTCAAAAAATTAGTAGGCTAATTCTTGCTCTATCACAGACGCATATGATGACTACCTGGGTGACTAAACAGTCAGGCGGCAGACTGATCGGATCTCTGTTGCATTCATCACGAGATCCATGAAGATCCTGCAACGGTGGCTGGCGATCGAATGAATTCGAATGCAACCTAAACTCTGGATGGAGGCAGGTTTTTTCCTTTTCGAGAGCTAATTGCAGGACGGTGCCAACCCCATGTGTGACCACCGCCTTGACCGCAAGACAACTCTCCTTGGAAGATGTGCTTGGGCATGGCCTGTGCCGAAAGTCGTGGCCATCATGATTTCTTGGCATCGCGAAAACGACTCGTCATTTTCCTTTTGAATGTGCGTACGAAAGCTTGATTTTCACGGGGCAGTTCAAACACTCGGATAGGCTGCTCCGTTTTTCAACATGTCCTCCCTGCGGAATCTGCTCCGTTCAATACGCAACATTAGCCAAGGTAGATCAGTTGTTTATCACAGCCGTTCCAGCCGGTCTCTACCAGCGCTCTTCCCGTGTGCCGAAGTCCCAGCCCAAGAGCACATCACTTTGGGCGCCCCTACAAAACCGACCCCCCAACCGCATTGCTGCTCAGTCAGGTCTAGTGCTCGTGATATGGTTCAATATGTCCTGCAGGGATCGAAGTTGGGACATAAATTAAGACCCAAAGGTGAGGTGGCGTATTTGATTTGCTGCAAGGTCCTGCTAGACTTGGAAGTTCTCACTTGCATGTGGTGCTGCATCGTCGGATGGCCAATGCGGGTGCCGCCTGATCTGCTGCCAAGTGAATGGTACTCCGACTTTCTGCGAAAACATCTTGGGGACTTCCCACAAGGGCCCACGCTTCGTACACCTGGGTGCGGGCTGTTGTGCGTTGTGGTGTAGTCTGGCCGGCATCAGTGAGGATGTAACATGCCTGCTTCGAGCTTGCTCGTTTCCCCTGTGCCCCAGGTGCTTGATTTTAGCATCCTGAGCTGAACCAGTCCTCCAACTAGTCCACACCACCAGCCGCCCACCCTAGTCGGTTTCGTGTGTTACACAACATAAGCCTTCACCACCATCTCACCGAGCCGTCCCAGACCTCCCCGTTTCTGGCAGGCAGGGCAGGGAACCAGTGGTTAGCCTCCCTTGGCTCCCTTCCAGGAGACAAGGATGGGAGTTGGTGGCGTTTTACTAATGCGGCGCTTCATCGCTTGGATCACAGTACATACATGGACACACATGGGCAGAGTTACATGTACCCTCGCGCACACGCCACCCACCCATTTCTACACTCACACACATACATCACATATGCACACATGCACATTTACACCCTCTTAGGGAAAAACCACTCCGGGTGTTGCGATAGGAAGACGTAGTTCAATATTTGTTGGTGGGGACGGACGTCCGCTCTTGTCAAGGTAAAATGCCTGTGAGATCCAGAAGTACAGGCAGGTGAGCGGTGACGAAAAATGATGCCAACAGATGGTACTCTCCGCCTTCCACCTACGAAGGAGAAGAGGCTCTGAAAAAACGGAATGGGGGAATGGCTTCCAAAGTCCCAGAAAGAGCTGTGATCTGGAGTTGGGGATGGAGTGCATGTGAAGGGTTGATGGGGAGGGGGGAGGGCCTCCAGCCCATGCCCGACCCTCACTCTACTCACTTGCGGTGGGAGACGCGGCACACTGTTTCAATTAGGCGGGAATTGAATGAGGGGATGAGACCTAATCAGGCAGGGAGGAGTGAGGGGAAATGTGAGGCCGCTCGACCTGCTTGACCCCCCGAGGTGATCTGAGAGTACCTGGCCATCCAGCTGGTCAAGTTATGCGCATCTTTCCACGGGCGGCCCGGGTTCACAGATTGCTGGCCACCAGCTGGAAAGCATAGGGTATTCACATGTCTGTTCGACGTGGTGCCTCCCCAAGTCAAGGCGATCTTTGACCCAAATGTGACAAGACAATGACTTCCCAGTGGCGCGTATTGCTCCGAGGGAGTTCATACGGCTGAAACTTTCTCGGCAATCTTTTCCGCCGCCACGATCTGGTAGATTGATGGCTATTTAAAGAGGGACTAGCTACGGGGGACTCACGTCGCACAAAAGGGTCAAAACGTGCTGGGATATTGTAGACATGGACATCACCAGAGACATTGCCCGAATGAATTCAACACGTGTAGCCACGAAACAAATTCAATGTGGTATTCCTTTTTACAACACTTTGGGCAAATCATGAACCCCTATGAAATCAACCTGGTAATTTTCCCCCTTCCCCCATCTTGCTGCTCATCCAAGTGAAAACAAACGCACGGCAAATCACATCATCTCAATGCTTCATGCGCCTTCCCTCTCTCCCCTCTCTTTCCCCCCTGATCTCCTCCATGATTCTAGGGGTGTGAGCTTTTTAAACTTTTTATTTTTACCTCGTTTTTCTACTCCAACTCCAGACCAGCCTCCCTCATTAGATTAAAGAAGAGCCCCTGCTTCTTGTAGAGGGCCGAGGGGGTATCGAACTCGGCGACCTCCCCCCTGTCGAGCACGACGACGCGATCGCTATCGAGGATAGTGTTGAGACGGTGGGCGACGGTGATGATGGTGCGTTTGGCGAAGAGGGGCGAGCGCAGCGTGCGCTGCACCATGGCGTCGGTCTGGACGTCGACGGCGGCCGTCGCCTCGTCCAGGACGAGGATGTTGGACGGCGTGAGCATCGCGCGAGCAAGGTTGACGAGCTGGCGCTGGCCTTGGGACAGGTTCGAGCCTATCAGAGGGGGTTAGGAGCAGTGTTCGATCAGGGTATATTGGTTTCGGGGTTGCGAGGGGAGAGAGAGAGGGACAGGAGGGAATTTCCCCCCCTTTCAGCCGATATCCAGCCCCTCCCCCCGTCTTATCCCCAGACATGGCGAAACAAAAGGAAGTATGGGAAAAGCAAAAACAAAACGTGGAAACAACTAAGCGCTGAGGGGAGAATGGGCTGTTGGCTGGGAAGGGGAGGACTTCGGGTTAGGCGGAAGCAGGGGGTCAGAGACTTCTGCACGTCCCAGCTGGGGGGAAACAATAGCATGGCGAAAGGCGCCTGGCAATGCCGGACTTCGCAAATACGAATGATGAGGAGAGAGGTCATTCATTGGGACTCCAGGGTCGAGATGAATGCGAATGGGGACCCATCATGCAAGTATTGCCCCAGTCGGCGATTAGAACATGTGAAGGGCAACAATAGGGCGATTGGAGCACCCCAGGCAATGCCCAACCATGATGCCTAGCTTAGACAAAATGGGGGAAGGCAGTGTGACACCCATAATGCACAGAATCCCCATGGCACCGTCGCACTGGGACCAAGATGCGGTGAGGGGGGGGGGGGCAGCCAACAAGAGCTTGGGGGGTATGTGGGCAAGGGGGGGTAAGGCGGGCGGGTTTACAAATGGTGCTCAGCTTCTAGAAAGCCGACGGCAAGCGTGAAAGAGCGCGAGAGCCCAAAGACGTCATTGACACAAGGAAAAACATATGTGCTTATGCTGCAACTCACCTCCTTCGTTAATCTTGGCCTCGAGGCCGCCGTCCATGCTGACCACATGGTCTTTTAGTCTAGCGTGTTCTAAGAGTCGCATGAGCTTTTGTTCCTGTGATCACCCGGAGCCATATTTGTAAACGGGGATGGAGACGCCGTGCTACCACTCCTCGGGGCATCGGAGGTGATAGTGCATCCCCAGATGCATGTGAAAACTTACCTAGAACGCTCCAGAGCTCTGTGTCATCGTGGGCGTGGGTAGGGTCCAGGTTGTCGCGGACGGTACCCTCAAACAGGGCAGCATCCTGTGGGATGATGGCAAGTCGTCGACGTAGATCGAAGAGGCCAATATCAGAGGTGTTGAGGTTGTCAATATCAATCTGGCCAGTTGCGGGCTCAATAAGTCTGAAGAGGGCCAGGGTCAGGGAAGATTTTCCAGCTCCCGTGCGGCCAACAACTCCAATCTTCTCATGTGACTTGATATCGAGATTGATGTTCTTCAGGACGAGGTCCAGGCCCTCGCGGTAGCGAGTACTGTAGTTGACAAAATCCAGGTCGCCCCTGGCAGGCCAGGCTACGGGAGGCCGCCTGTCGGGAATGATCTCGGGCGCCTCGGGGGTTAATGCTGAATACTCAAGAACTCGCTCAACGGCCACGATGTTTGTCTCCACCTCAACAGTCTGGCGGACGATCCAGTTGAGAGCAGTCGTGATCTGGAGGGCATAGGACATTGCCAAACCCACAATACCAGGCTCAATGGGGACATGAGTTGCAACAGCAGTGACAGAGAGCCCGGCGGCGGCAAGAATGATGACAGCACCAATGAATTCGAGACGGATAGCGAGCCAACGGTTCGCACTGATCGAAGGGAAGTACGCTCGGAGATTGGCATCGACACGCCACTCATTCTCAAGCTGGAAGCGGTCCTGCTGGCGGTATGCCCTGATTGTAGAGACACCCCCAAGAGACTCCTGGAAATGAGCGTAGACTGGGCTTCGGCTCACGCTGTCCAAGCGCTTAAGCTCTCGCGACGTACGAAGATAATAACGTTGGATTCCGTAGTACGCGAAGCCAAGTGGGATGATAAAGGCAGCGAAGGCGGGTGTCGCCACAGAGATCACCACCAGTGTGAAACCAGACTTGGCAGCATTTACAAACAACTGCTGGAAGGTTCGGGCCAATACCTCATCGATCTTGTAAATGTCGCTAGAGGGTTGGTTAGAACGGAGCTCAGATAAGATAAAATGTAAGCAAAAGGATGCGACGTACCTTGAAAAACGGTTGAGGATCCGACCAGTTGGTGTTGTATCAAAGAAGGACATCGGGGATCGGAAAATGGCGTTTGCCATCTCCTCGTGCAGCTTTCGTGAGGCCTGTGTTGAGAAAGTTAGCGGGGAAATCTTGGTACCGTGCCCAAGTAAGTTGAGATAACAAACCTCGATGGAGCAGAAGATCCAAAGAATGAGGGTTTGGATGACTGTCAAAAGGGATGACCCAATGCCGAAGACAAAGTAGATGCCAATAAACCATCCGACATTTTCATTTGTGCCTCTAGAGGCGTTCTTATCCGCCCATTCTTTAAGCCAAACAGAGCCACCTAAAGCGAGTGTAAGTGAGAAATATTCAATTTTTAGTTCAAATGAGAACTTGACTTACCAATGTTTGCGGTCTGAGAAGCAAGCAGAGAAAAGATGAATACAGCCACTGCATAGAGGTTGTTCTTTTTCGCATACTCGGCATAGACATACCACTTGACTTTACCTTGCTCGACGAATTCCTTGGTCTGCTTTGTCCTACTACCAGCCAGCTCCTCGTCCGTCAGCTTACCTCTAGGGCCACGGAATGAAGCTGTGCTGGCACGGCGCAAGGTGGCCATACTACTGGCTCGGGGTTTGGCCGAAGCAGATGCGATTATCTTAAGGGGCGCCAGCTCAGGAACTCGCTCCTGGCTTTCCTCAAGCTCCTCCTTTGTCTGGGTAGAATCAGATGCCTCGATAACAGTAGATGTCTCGCTGGCCGAGCCGCTGGGACTGCCAGATGCGCTACCGGACTCATGGCCGGCAGTCCTCAGCATCTCAGAAACGTCGCCCTTCATAGCAATAAGCTGCTTGTAGGTTCCTTTCTCAATGATCCGTCCGTCTTTCAACAGAGTAATGTAGCTTGCCTGCTTCAAGACGCTGATAGAATTGGTGGCAAGGATACGAGTCTTGGTGGAAAGAAGACCACGAGGTCCCAGTACATTCTGCATGATGTGCTTACCAACGTGTGAGTCGACGGCGGAGAGAACATCATCCAGAAGATAAATGTCTGCCCTGGCGTAAACAGCACGGGCCAGAGAAACACGGGCCTTCTGACCACCGCTCAGGGAAATACCCCTTTCTCCAACAACGGTCTCGTCGCCATCAGGAAGCTGCGCAAAGTCGTCGATGAGAGCACAAGCCTTGACGGTCTGCTCGTAGAAGTCAGGGTCATATCGGTATCCAAAAACGATATTTTCCTTCACAGTAGCGTTCAAAATCCAAGTCTGCTGAGAAGCAAATGCAACAGTTCCACAAACGTCGACGGATCCCCTAACCTTCCAAAGATCTCCAAGAATACTGGACAACAGTGACGATTTTCCGGAACCAACTCGGCCAACGATGCAAGAAAGCTCTCCCTTATAAGCAGTATACTCGATGTCTTCGAGCGCCTGGCGCTCCTCGTGGCGGTTCCAGGAGAAAGTACCGTCCCGGATGATGACTGTCTCCTCTCCAAGCTCCTGGGGGGCTGGCTTGACGTTGACGGCGCCAGACTGAATTTCCTCGGCGCAGAGGAAGTCGCGGATGCGGCTCACTGCCACGGATGCCTCAACAAGAGCCGTAATAACCATGGGCAGCACAGCCAATGGGAATGTCAAGAGATTGAAAAGTGCCAGTGCAGGGAACACGATTTCTGTCGTCATAGGTCGGTCTTGGGTAAGGACAAAAACGGCAAATGTAGAGCATGAGACAAAGAATGGAGCACTGTTCCAGGTGAAGTTGGCAACAGCCTGTGCAGCAGCGATCTTGCGTAGATTCTTCAGCTCCTTCTCATTTCTGACGTAATTGAGCTTGTTCATGAAAGCGCCGCCCCATGCGTAGAGTTTGATGCTCTTCATATTGTTGATGATCTCGTTGATCAAACGACTTCTGGCATCCTTGTTCTTCATCTGGGTCCGCTGCATCGTCTTCATGATCTTGGAGACAAAGCCTTGAATAGGCATCATGAAGATCATGACAACAATTCCTGCCATCATTGACCAGCCGACGAGCTGGTATAGCGAGACCATGCAGATGACAATTTGGAATGGAGCAGACCAAAGCTGCTGAGCGAATTGCGTCACATCTTGAAGACGCTGAGCATCAACAGCCATGTAATTGACGATATCTCCAGTGGTCTTTGCGGCGCGACCCTCGTTTGACAGCTTCAGAGACTTCCTGTAGATGGCGGAAGCGAGGCCTCCCTTGATTCGCATACCAGTCTCAAACGAGCGTTGGAAGTATTGATGCACCATGGTTGTCTGGAAGAGAGCGCAAGCAAACATGCCCAAAGAAATAGCAACACCCTGGATCACTGGCTGGGGATTCTCGGTCTTGTAAGATCCAATGAATGAAATAAGAAGGCGCAGAAATTGAGGCTGTGCGTATTGGGCGATGTCGTTGCCGATTTTGAAAACACCAGCAACAGCATATGGACCACCGAAAGCACGGATCAGAACCATTGTCAGAGAGGGCTTCTCTGGGTTCTTCTCCAATTCCTTCTCCCACGCACTATCAAATGCGAAACCCGTATTCTTGGTCTGATCCGGCTTCGCCAAGCCCCACAGGTCACTTTCGGTCAAAAAAGCCTTGTATCCATATCTCATCATTGGTGTCATCCAGTCGAAAGTGAGCCGGGAGAAAACGGTCGCATACTCGACAGGGCATTCATCCTCGTCGACAATGGCCTCGTAACCGGTCACTCCGTTGTCGCGGGGCCAGAGCCACTCAACAGCAAACGCAGCAATGGCAAGGCCGACGCCGACGCAGAAAGTGATGAAATAGCTGAGGTGCTTGGCGTAGAGCTGCTGGGAGATTAACGATCTCAACTTGACAGCAGAAGCGATTATCAGGAGGAGCCAGTAGAAGAGAACAACGCCATTGGCATGCCTCAATCGCGAATGCTCTAGCCATTGGACTGCGAATACAACACCAAGAGAAACAAATTCGAGGGCGGTGGTCCAGACTCGGAAGTCGCCATACGCAATGGCTCCATAGCTGAGGATTTGGAAGACGAGCTGGACGATGACATCGGCGGCAAAAAGCGCAAGGAGTACCTATACATATAATAAACGAAATTAGCTCTGCCCCGTTCCTCGTCCATGCAACATGCGCCAATGTCTCGTACCTGTTTGAACCAGAAATGGAAGTTCTTGCTGCTGGTATATTCCTCCTGCTTCTTCTTGAGAAGCCAAACAGCGCCCAGGCCAAAGACCAGGCCAAAGGCTGAAACAGAGGCAATCCAAACATCAATGAAGCATGGTGTAAAGTCGTATCGGAAGGGGCTCAGAGGTCCCCAACCTTCTTTGTTGCCGCAGAGTGGCTGGCGGAACGAGTGTGTCGCAGAGAGATAGTCGCTTCCGAGGTTTTGCAGAGGCCGATAACCGGACAATGAGCCGGTGTGGTAGAGCACCTTTTGCTCGCTGAAGGCGTCCATGACTGCTGGAAGGGGTTGCGGATTGGATAGGCCAGCCTCAGCTTGTCATGGCAATTCGAGCGAGCTCCTACAAATCGCAGATACGGGGAAGGCTTTGTAGCGGTCGCGAACTGGTGGAGGGTGGGCGGGCTGAAATCGGTCGGCGGTTAGTGGAGGCGATAAGCAGCCGAACCGGGGAGCTCACAACAGCTCAATTGAGGTGTTGGCGATGGACAATCCAAGCCGCTGGCTCTGAGAAAGACGGACCGTGAATCGACGTCAAGACGGCAGAACCAGGTGGATCATATCATGGGCTGCTTTGTCAGCTCAGACTGGCAAGGGAATTAGCCTGCCTCCATGGCGGCAAGCTGGTGCGCCGTGACCGCGTCGTCGTCGTCGGTGAGGTTTTCTGCCTGCGCTGCACCTGCCTGCAAGCGGCCAGGTTTGGCGCTAGTGTGCATCCGTTGCCACCGGACAGGCTCCAATCCGCTGTTAGGCCCGGCTGTATCGGAGAATGCAGGCCCCAGTGGGCCGCTATCATCAGGAGCGGGGCCACTGGAGCGCTGAGACCAACGGCCGGGTGACAGAAGAAATGAGACACAGGGCTGATGCTATCACGATAGCCAGAATAATCCAACAGTACGATGATCGAGGACGATGATACGGAGTGCATATTCTTTTCATTGATCTATTATAAAACTATATCAATTGAAAACTACTCACAGCAATCCCCAAAAACATAGTAGGATAAACCCATGATGTATTGATTTCAATGTCCCCAGCAAAGCATCACAAACGTCGCGGCCCACCGAGTTCGTTGCGCCCCGCTTCCAATGTGAATTGTGATAGATTATGCATTTAATCTAATCTCCCGCAGCACACAACGGCCTGGGGGCGACGTATTTACGAGCTGTTCACCCTTGGCGTGCTTCTTAATAATTCACCGCACCACGATGCACAAACAACGGCCTTATCATCCACAGCTGTCGCACATTTGTGTCTCCCCTGACACACACGGATCACCAGGCTGGCCCTATCCGTATGCATCGTATGTCATGTAGGTAACATCCAAGTTTACGTCATGCAGTCATCTCTCCTCTCACATTCAGCCAAGACGTGACTCACTCTAGGATGGATTGGTAAGTAAATATCTATCGACTCCCCTCCCCTCTCCTCTTGCTACTACCGAGTCACTCCGGGGTGATTGGTAAGTATGTCCCGTCTCCCTCGCATCTCATCCTGCATCTTACTGCAGGGCGCGCAGAAACTCCGCAACCTTTTCCGACAGCCACTGCCTTGCCTCTTCGTTCATTACAGCGTGACCAGTGTTTGGTATCAACCCCGACAGCCGGCTCACCATCGAGCTGGCCTCCTGGTATCTCTTGTTCAACGCAGCTTGGTCAATGTTTACAGGCACAAACTCGTCCTTCTCTGAGTGCAAAACCAGCACGGGTTTCTGGAAATTCCCCCAGAATCCCTTTACTTTCTCGTCGTCCAGGTCTGTTGAGAAATAGTCATCATCGCCACTGCAATCGACAATCAATACTCCAAATGTGCTTCAGATTGACACAGCCACGACATGGCAGTTGCCAGGTATGTGTCGGTAGGGAGTGATATAGATAACACATACCCTCTAGCGATCAACGATCGGAGTCGGTAGGCCGTCATGGGGCAGTTAAACACGGGCGGCACCTTGTCCTTGGGTATGCACCAGTCTGGCTTGCCTTCGGCGATCATCTGGTCTGCTACAGCGAGGCTGTCCCGCCATTCGGGGAACAAGCCCTCGAGGCCCTCTCTGTCCGACACCGGTGCCTGCAGGATGAACCCGTCAACCGGCTCACTGTTATGGCGGGCGTAGTTTGTATATTCCATGCAATCCTAGTCACCTTGTCAGTCGATATCAAGAACCATCAGACCTTGAGAGCAATAGAAAAGAGAGGGACAAATGATATGCACCTGACAGCCAGTGGAATGCCCCATTAGGACAATCTTATCTCTGCCTTTCTCCCGTAGGTACTTGACCAGAGCAGAGGCATCCTCGACGTCTTCCTGCAAGCTTGAGGTACCCCATTGTTCAAATGAGCTTCGCATACGAATCTCAAAGATGGAGTAATCTAGATCTGGCTGTGTCTCCAGGTATCGTGCCATGAAGCGGACATACGGTGTCGTGTGGGGTCCATCTCCAAGACCGCCTAGAAAGACGAGGGCATTCCGTGCTGTGTTGTTTCCCAGTTCATATGCACAGTTCTTGCCGGCTGGCGAGCGATACGGGTGGGCCGTAAGGGCGAATGGCTCCATCAAACTACCCATCTTTAATGCTGGTGGTTAAGACGGAACTTTGGAAATGCACTTGGTCTCTCTCCAAATTTATAGTTGCAGTAGCATGTTGGATCCAACTTACGCGCGGGGCAGTAGGAATCCACTTCTACGTGACGCTGACCGACTGATCGACCAGGGTCGCAACTTGGCCGTACGAGTATACAAGTTCCCGCAAAGTGGTCGCGATATCGACACTACGATGTCACTTATAGCGATCGCTCGTCATAACACGGGATAGAGAGGTTAAGCTCATTGCAATTGCTCGTCTTGAAAAGGCCACGCCGGCTCCTTACGAAATAGCTGTCGTAGTAGATGATAGCCATGTTAGGTCTAGATCGCCCTCTCACGATTTTACTGTCGCAGCACCTGATTGCTACTCGTAGGCCCGGCTTACAAGGATCGCTCGTCTTGACCAAAGACAAATAGGTCAGACTTGCAGGGATCGCTCGTCGACAGACCCCTACCAATTGACCATCTTGCTAGAAGATACGTAGGTCTAGTCTGTCACGACAGTTAGTTCGTAGGAAACGGACCTAGCTGTCTCCGGTCATGACAAGCGATTGCGGTAGATGATCTTCTCATCATATGCTTTTTGGTCGTTGGCTCTAGGGTAGGCTCACGGTTGGCTGCCTAATCAGACTTCTTCACAGCCCTTTGTCCGCTTAGTAAGAATTCGCCTGGTAGCACCTACCTCAGATTCAACCACCAAACCGCTGCTCTTTGGATGAATTCCCAGCCCTTCATATCCTCTTCATTATTTGTCCAAGACGATGATATAGCACCGTAGATTCAAGGTGGCCGTCATTATTCATTGCTCTTCATGGAGTCAGCGGCTCGCAATGATGAAAGAAATAAGCTCTTTCAGAAGGTGAGGATCACCCTGCTCCCCTGCCTGCTTGTCTGTATCCATTCTCTAAGACCATCTGCAGTTGAAGCCATGCTGTGTTCAAATCAGCCAGTTGGCCCTTCGCAAGGCCCAGGAGCATGCGGCGCAAGCCGAGCTACTGTCTTTGACAGACCAGTTGTTGGGTATCCTCAATGACCAGATTCGCACTAACCCTTTGGCCCTCGACGAGAAGTTGGCTGAATACACCTTCTTCCCTCTCTATCACATATTTCGCCAGATAGACAGCTTTTCAACGAGACTGATTGAAAATTGCGTCAAATCACTCAACATTCTCGTTCTCCACGGATGGAAGTCTAAAATATCCCCAGAGATGGCCAAGCAAGTCCTAAGTCTCCTGACCTTCATTATTGACGGAGTGCCGGGGTCAAAGAATAAGCGAGCTGTCGACGAAGAGACGGTTTTGGAAGCTTTCAGGGGCTTCACAGCTCTGTTCCAGGTCACTGCACAATCCCCCACGGCCGCTGCAGGTCTGGCAGAATCTGATGCAATCCCGGCCCTTGGCCATGCCATCACTGTTATGCTGGATGGGGTTGACAAGGGGGCCAATAGTACTATAAGTATCGAATCTCTTCGTGCAATTCAAGGAGTCTACACGGCAATACGCGAGCAGGCGGCTTTGGCAAACTTCCTCCCTGGGTGTATATCCATCCTGACAAAGGTCCTGTCAGCCCCAGCACGGCATAAAAAACTCGTTCTTGCACGATCCTTGTCCACTTGCGCGTTGATACTCACTCGTGTGCTTGGAGATATGCAGACAAGGTCGATCCGTGCTAAAGCCGAGCGCAAGGATGCCGAGGATGAGGATAAGACTACCCTTCTCAGTCCAGCCTGGTTGACGGCTACGACCAATCAAGTCAAGGTCGCCCTTTCAAATATGATGAAACTTCGGTCCCACGACGAGCCGGAGGTCAGAGAAACCCTGCGAAGTCTATGTATGACTCTTCTCGATGAGTGCCACGATACCTTGTCCAACTGCTCGAGAATCCTGGTTGAGACCGCCGTCATCCTTGACGATCTCGAAGCAAAATCATCCTTCACCGAAACATCACTCAGGGACTTGATTAGTATATACCCGGAGCTCGCCGACGAGGCGAAGGAAACCGTTTATGGCTGGTTGTCAAGTTTGCCACGTCTGATGCAGGCCAGTGACGAGGATATGAAAAGTAAGGCCGTCCATAGCCTATCAAAGGGAATGAAGCTCCTCCAAGACCTTGGCATTGAGTCATCGACCGTTCAAGACACACTTGGAAATGCGTTAATCGACAGTATCGTCTCAGCAATGAATACAAATAAGCCACAGTCATCAATCCAAAGAACAGATGTCCAACTACTGTCTGGGACTAGTGGTCTCGTAGTAGAGGGCTCTCAAGGCTCCAGGTATCCACCAATTGTCTTCAGCCAAGAGAGCCAAAGAGGCCTTAGGGCTGAGATTGGGAGCCTGCTCAATGTTCTCGGATCGAATATGACCTCTTCTGGGTTAGCTACTAACTTTCTGGAATACATACAGAACCCAGGCACCGTCAGCCAAGTAGCTGCTTTCTGGGCTTGTTTTGAATTGGTCAAGGCATCTCACCAATCTTCGGCCGACGCTTCGGAACTGTTTGACTTATCTTCATTTGACCAAGGTGACGAGGCCGAAGACATCGATTTGGTCTTCCGCGAATTATACTCCTTCTCTGTGCAAACACTGGACGCACATACTCAGGCTTCCAGTATAGATTGGCGACTGGAGGCGACCGCTCTTGAAGTCACAGCATATGCGGCAAAACGGTCGGGATCGGCGTTTCGCCCTGAA